GACAGACGGGCAGGCATACTTACTTACATTAATATTTTCGTACTAACTATATTTTTTTCAGATTTTGATTAGAACAAGCAACACTTAAATTTAATCTTGAATCTAGGGATGTGTACGTAGTAAGTGTAGTGTGAGTAAACACTGAGCATCGAAAGTAACCCATTTTTTATGATTACCATGGAAAATAACTGGAAAAACCAATAGAGCTGTGCTGTTGTTTGGCATTAAGGTTCAGAGGAGCTATCTGAGCTTTCGATATTCTTATCTTGCTCCCATTCAAAGAAAGGCACGACCGTGCAGAGGGCTTGTTCGTTGTCAGGATTGTTCTGGACATTACGGTTCTGTSGTAAAATGGGCGGAGGAGGCCGAGTGAACCTGGTTACAAATGATTGGAAATTGTAATAGTTGCCAGAACGGACTGCTAGTAAAGGATTCCATTCACGATGGCAATATGGACATTGTTCCTCTAGGGGGAAGCCTTCGTTGAAGTGGCGGGAATGGAAAACTGCGGTACAAATGTTGCACATGGTAATRTCTTCCTCTTTTGCTATTGACTCTCGAAATGAAGTACAAAACAMACATGATTTTTCTAAGACGGAAATAAGTGGGGTAGTGAAATCATCGACGTACTTCCAGTCTTTGAGATGAAAGATGTCCCTGATATAAAGAGCATCAACGTTGAGCAACCCAATTTTGACGTCGTGACCAAGCTCCAATAAAAGGAATAAAATGTGCTTACAGAGAGGGTTCTGATCAGGACAATTGCACAGCATAACCTCGGRGTCGAACGTAATGGTGTACAAATTRCCAGTTGACCCGATTAAATAAATCCTGTGATTAGAAACATAAGGAAAAGGAACATAAAAGTTCTGAGAAAGGGCCCGTTGTAACCGACCACGGTCGACCTGGAACGATGGCATGGGGAAGTGCAAGATCGAGTGGATTCGTGGTTTCGGGAAGCAGGAAAAGAGAGATACAACAAGGAGTGCCTGTACACTATGCGTAACRACATATTTGGAGAAACACGATACAAAAAAAAAGGATGACAGAAAAACGTGGAATTGGCCTGAAGCGAGCAGCCGCACAGGCTCTTAGAAACCGAGGCTCTAAGAAATCACGAAAAGACCGAAAAGACCGGAGGTGGTGACAGACATTGTGCTCGAAGTTTTGATATGACCGTCAAATGAAGTTGCGCATAGAATGTGAGAAATACTAATGATTTGACCAACGGGGGAGAGGGTTGTTTGAATTAGATAGTTAGAGATTTGCCGTGTGGAAACTAAAACACACCAGAAAATACTGACAAAAATTGGGGGAAAGTGTAGCCTCCGTAACTAAATTTCAGGTCAGTGGAAAATACCGTACGTATCTAAATTTTTGGTTAGCTGGAAGTTATAGTTGAAATTTCAGTTCAGACAAAGGTTCTAGATGAAATTGAATGTAGATATGGAAGTTATAGTTTAAATTTACATTCAACAAACATGGGTTGTTACTTATGAGGATGAAATGACTGTTGGCGAAGGAAGAGAACAAGAAATTAGGAAAAGTTGTTCTAAGTAAGTTTATATTGCGGGACGGTATTATTTTTAGTACTTTTACAATAGCCGTCGAAAAAAAGTTCCAGTTTAAATTTTTTTCATGCTGAAAGTTCCAGTTCTCGTTTTATGTACCCCTTCCGTCTTTCGTCTGTTACGTCGTTTCCAATACTCAACGAAATACAGTACATAGGGATTACATGTACGACGTGAGTAGCTCGCCAATTACAGTATTAGAAAATCCTCCAGCGCTGGCTCCTCGTCCGTATCAGCGATTACTGTACTGTAATTGTTCTCCGTATCAGGAAGTGTCCTGCTTATCGAAACTGGGAGAGAAACAAAACTCGTGAGGAAGAGAAATACACATACTTTTCCCGCGTAGCGCCTTTATTTCTGCTCCTCACGCACCCATCGCCATGTCGGTCAAAACTTTTGGCACGAAGATTTTGAAATCGAACGACATCAGTACAATTGCAAGTGAGTTTGTTTCGAGGGCTCGATTAGCAGCTGGAGCCGGTGCATCTGCCAGCAGTATCTGGCACATTCTTCAGAAAGAGTTGTCCCCTTCTCAATCGTTCGACGTTCACCAGAAATGTTACGACAAAATATACGAAGGAATCGACGACGTCAAGCCATCGTGGATTCCTTCGAAGGAAGATAGAGAAAGGACAAATATTTTCAAATCGATGACTGCTAAAGGTTTTTCGAAGTACGAAGACTTTTATCAATGGTCAGTGGGTTCGAAATCTCGCGATGACTTCTGGATGGAAAGTACCAAGAACATAAAGATTGATTGGGAAACGGAACCTTCCTCGGCCTTCAATCTGACCGATGGTGGGGCAGCTCATGTAAATTACTTTCCCGAAGGACGACTCAACATAAGTGACTCTTGTTTTAACAAGAGAGACCCACTCGAGCCTGCCCTTGTATACGCCGTGGAATCCGATTCGAGGAATCTGCGGGAGATGTCGTTCAAGACTCTCGACGTTCTCTCCAATCAAATTGCAAACGGAATCACGCACAAGTTGGGATTAAAAATAGGTGATGCTGTTGGCATTTGCATGCCAATGACTCCAGAATCTGTTGTTATCTATTTAGGAATAGTCAAGGCTGGGTGTGTCGTCATCTCGATCGCAGACTCATTCTCGCCAGACGAAATAGCGACCAGATGCAGACTGAGCAACGCAAAAGCTATCTTCACACAGGATGTCATCTTTCGCGGAGAAAAATTCTTACCTTTGTTTGAGCGAGCTTTGGAAGCAGATTCAATTCTTCAGCAATCGGGAAAAGACAATTCGTGTTCGATGAATATTGTGGTGCTTCCCGGAATGCTACACGCAAAAGCCTATCCACACGCGTCCAAAGACGCGAATGGCTCAACTTGGACTGATACAGATAGAGACGGAAAGCAAGTTCCTTTACATGATTCTATTTTAACATTATTGCGACAAGATCACGATATGAGTTGGTATGACTTGTTGCACCTTTGCAGCGAACAATACAAAAGTAAAAAACGAGGTGCCATGGACCCGTGCAATATTTTATTTAGTAGTGGAACAACTGGTGAACCAAAAGCAATCGTCTGGTCTCATAGCACTCCAATCAAGGTTCGTAGAATACTCGATGCCATCTGTGAAAAAAAAACAGCATGTATTTGTGGGCATTCTTCCTCACCGCTACTTTTTTCTGTGTTCAGAGTGCCATAGATGGATACTATCACCAAGACATCAAGGTTGGGGATAGAGTCGCTTGGCCAACTAATATTGGTTGGATGATGGGGCCATGGCTGGTGTTTCAGCTCATCAATGGGGCTACAGTTGGTCTTTTCAACGGAATTCCTTCGACAAAATCGTTTTGCGAGTTCATCGATGAGGCAGAAATAACCATGCTCGGAGTCGTTCCTTCCCTTGTCAAATCCTGGCGAGCTAGCAATGCAACTGAAAATTGTGACTGGAGCAAGATCCGTAGGTTCAGCTCTACAGGAGAAGCTTCCGATCCAGCAACCGCCTTGTGGCTCATGTCGAGAGTGCAAGGATAGTAAGTATTCTAGTGAAATGGATAGCAATCATCGATTCACATTGACATCGTTGTGATCGGATACATTACTATAGGGACAGCTAATAGCTTCCGTTTCATCATCGTTCTTTTCACTTTACAGCGCTCCAGTAATCGAATATTGTGGTGGTATGTGATATTTATGATTATTGCAAGAATTCAAAAATATGCAAGTAGCTCTATCACTGACGTTTTGCTTCGTCAACTTTTTCTTCTGTCTTCTGCAGGGACCGAAATTGGTGGGTCGTTCTTATCATCAACACTAATGGACGAAAACGTACCTGCTATGTTTTCTACTCCTGTGCTCGGATCAAAATTCCTTTTGCATGGTTCGGAAGGCTTCATTAAAGGTGGCTCCTTTGAAACAGACATTGATGGATCGAACAGCGGAGAGCTCGTTCTCATCCCTCCAGCAGTTGGGATGAGTACCGTACTTCTGAACAGAGATCACTATGAAGAATACTACAAAGGAATGCCATCTAGTCCCGACGGAGAAGTGCTCAGAAGACACGGGGACGAAATTGAGTACGTGCGGAGCTCGGATCATCTATCAAAAAAGAATGAAGATTTAAGAACCCCCTATTATCGTGCACTTGGTCGCTCTGACGACACCATGAACATTGGAGGTGAGATAAATATATAGCGTCGAACACTGGTTCTGCAATACATTTTTCCTTACAAAATGGCTGTCTTTTGCTGGAAAGGGATTAAAATCGGAAGCGTGGAGATCGAATACGCTTGCAACCTTGTGGATAACGTTCTTGAAACTGCAGCGATTGGTGTTAGCGAGACAAAAGGCGGGCCATCAAACTTGGTGATCTACGTTGTTTTAAAGAACGAGGAGAAAAGTACAAAAGAGAAGGGAATCAACAAGGAAAGCCTCCAGGCTGCTATGCAGACATCAATTAAGACGAAACTGAATCCTCTCTTTGGAATAAGTGACGTAGTGATTACTGATTATTTACCGAGGACCACGTCCAACAAGGTTATGAGAAGAGTACTGAGGGACCAGTATGTTGCCGCCATGTAGAAAAATGAACTGAAACGCGATTGTACTGCACCTGGATCACTACAGTACTCATGGACAGCATAATAGTGCGAGTGTTCAACTATTCAAATTCGAAATCCGGGACCGGTAATTCAGCGATGATTAGCCTTTCGCTCTCATATTTACACCCTGCAATAGTGCAGTAAGGAGATAAGCATATTATTTGACAAATTTTTGTTGCACGAGCATAGAAAACGAGTTCTCTCTGAAGCAATTTGTTCAAATGGAAAATATGAAAGTCGCTGCTATCGATTGTGTTTCACGTTCAGCATTTCCTTTGACCATTCATACACCGTGAACATGGTGCCAACCATCGGTATTACTTTCAGTAACTCGGGTGTCAGTCCTCTATAAACGCTCCCCAATCCCTCGTACCGTACTAATCGTATCAGCTGTTCTAGAGACGAAAGTCGGTGTTCCGGATCAACATGAAGATTTTGAATTTGCATCCGTCGTCTAATGGTATCCATTGGAAATGTTATTATTGTAGCAGAGCAACCACTGCACGCCCCGCACAAAACCGTTAGTATCATTCCCAACTTCGGCTCGCCGGACTCTGCATCGACTTTTCGAAGGTTATAAAATAAATCATCGTCCAAAGTGTATTCCTTTAGAGTACCATACACGGAATATGAAAGAGCGAAATTGGGGACGGCGACCAACAAAGTGGGACCAATACCAGAATAAAACCCAGCGATGCCTTCTTTCCTATAAATTTGTGTAAAAGCATCCTTGATCCCGCGATAATGTTCGTGACCTTCGAACTGTGTTGTCAAACGTGTTCTTACTAAATCCAAGGGATAGCACGCTGTAACGGCTATAGTTCCCGCTGTGGCACCCGCGAGGAATTTGTGGGACGGAAGGGTGTCATCTGGTGTCATTGATTTGCTTATTTTTACATTTGATCGGTCACTATCTCTGGTTTCGATGCTCACTCTTTCATTTTCTTCGCCGCTACTAACTACTCTATGCGACATTCTACGGGCGAGGGTTGTTACTGTTTCAGTTGTTTCTTTGTGTTCCGCTCTCATTCCTGTCAAGCAGTCGAGTGTATTTTCATACACGAAAAAGTTGATCGCAGAGTAAGGAAATCGATGGAGTACCGATGTCATATTTCCCCGCCATAAAGATTTCATGCCACCCCGCTCGATGATTTTTGATATCCCCCCTCTGAGACTCATGGAAAACTTTGGGCGATCAGACTTTGTAGTAACCATAGAATGAACCTGAAAAAGAATTGTCAAGCGACTCAAAGGAGCCGTCACCGTTTTGGCAACAGACCCAGCAACTCCTCCACAGAAAAGTTGTTTCGCAGCTTCAACCGTTCTCTTCCTAAATATATTTACATCAACATCATTTTGTTGTCCCATCTTATTGGAATCAACCTTATATATTTTGGTAGAGGAGTTCACAAGAACTCTTTAGAAACAACGTCTATGGTTGTACTTGCATCAATATCTGCAGCTATCCTTTTCTAGCTGGCTGAATCGTTTTTCGAACGACTTCGAACTACAACCTACTTTTGCAGATTCCAAAACATTCAGGCTCTGTGAAGTCGCTTGGCAACTGTCTGAAAGTACGAGGGACAACGTTTGCAGTTCGAAATCTATTTTTGTTTTCTCTCGCACTACTCTTAAATTTTCGATTGAATACTCGACACATTTGTTTTGAAATAATCAATGAAACTCTTCGTGTATCCAATTGTTTACTGTACCGTTGTCAGCTGTCATGTCAGAAAGGAAGGACAGCACTCGAACTACCGTAGTATTCGCCAACCATTTTTGTTGAATATTGGAAGCGACGGACAGACAGAGGAACGTAAACCATACAAAACTGCATCCTTGCAATGACAACAACCTCACGAATGATGCACCATTGCTGAATAAATCGCATGTGGAATAAGGGAACAGTTAGTGTAGTGTTGATCTATTGATAACACATGCAAACAGTATACGTTCTAAAGACTTAGCAGATATGAATAATGCCTTTACACCATGCTGCCGTGGTGGGGTGTGATACTAATAGGGTGTTTTAGATTACGTCACACAAACGGGATCCATGGTATTGCGCATTTTGCACCGTTGATACCCCAAAATTTTCTGGTCCTACCATTAGATTATGAATTACAAATTAATTTATYGAACATCTAATTTTATTCCTTGTTCTGGGAACATGTTTTCTCAATCACGCTCTTATCTATCCCCTTATCCATCGAACTTCATGGTCTATGCCCAAAAATTAGTACCCTTGGACCCTACATCCCTTCACCCATGCGTCGTTTGTTAATATGGGTCCTCCCAAGCTCAAGGTTTTTTGCCAGAACTGCCACGGGTCCCGTGATCGCAGTACCCAGCGGCCCATATTCTACAGTGCCAAACGCAACAAAGAAACATGTGCCATCACATCTGCCAAATTATTGACTCATCTCTCCGAGAGTTGTATATGTTTTGACTATTATTCTCTATATAGGGATGGTGTCAATGATTTCAGCTCTTCTCTCTACAAAATCACGCTGGACAAGGAGGATGTCAGCAGACAATTTTGTTCAACCAACACTAATCATGGTCCCGCAAGCGGTATGCCAGAAAATCTCAACCATCAAGTGATGTACAACCCATCTACGGAACTCGTTGATCGATGCCTGATTGATTCTCAAATGAATGCTGTCAATTCTGATCTTGACGATGATGCACCAATATTTGACTCTGTCAACTCCGCAGAGCAAGACACAGCTGACTCAAACACAATAATTACTCCCTCTGTGACTAGGTATGCAGAGCCTTCTTATTGAAGACTCCTACCTCCATGCTTTCGTATTACCATCGAGTTTATGAGAAAACAATTTTGGCAAGTGTCTCTCAAGCTACAAGTGCTTTGGTCTCCAACCCCCGCCCTATTACCCAGTATTTTCCACCACTGCTTCATAGTAAACAACCACCGGAGAGCGTCACACAAGATGGGCTAGTCTTTGATGCCTACTCCAAGAAGAAAAGACACAGACCCCCCGCGTCACCAAAGAATTCTTTGGTCTCTGCCGCAACCAACCGTACCATGCAAACTACTATGAAACAATACTTTTCCTAAACATGCTCTCTGAGTCTAACCTTGGGCCTTCAGTGGCCTATCAGTGTACATAAAACTTGGTCACGCCTCCACAACACCTCCTCGGAGGGGGGCGCCACCCCTCGGAGCAGCTAGAAACATTCTTTCTAACGAAAGCTAGGTTCTGGCCATATAGTGCCTCTTCTAGCTCACAAGGTTAAATATAATATTAAGATTTTTTTTAAAGCTAGTACAAGCAGGAAGTTGCAGTAGAGTATTCCAGCTACAAACAGTATCCATACTTGTATTAAGTACAATGTACTTAATACCACAGTACTACACTCTATGTTGGATTACATACAATGAGTAAAACTCCAACCCAAATTGTCTGTTGGTAATTTTGAATTGCATGAATACAATTGTATGAAAGGGAACGGGGGAGTTATTGCAGACCAGTATTATATCCCAGCTCCAATTGTAATACATATACTACACAAGTCGATACACATGTATATAGTTTACATCACTACTATATAACTCAAAGCATCACTGCATACACATGTATATAATTCTTGGAACGAGAATTCAGAATAGAACCAATCGATCTTGAGTTCTGTTCTAAAGTCGCTCAGTACAAGCAGTACTAAGTCCTACAGGATCCGAGAACTAAGGATCTGAATCCATGATCCATCAGTACTGCCTAGATGGTGTATATTTCTACTATTGATTCTAACTCAATGAATCCAGTATAACACGGGAAAGTGCGTGAGAGATGGATTCATCAAATTAACAGTTTATTCATTAGTTTTAGTCTCACAATCCTAATTTAGATACAATCTTGCAACGGATACGTACGTACCCTGTCGGAAGTATATACGGTACGGAGCTTCAAAGAAAGGAATGAAGGAACATACCATTCCTACGTACCTATCGTAAGGTACTGTTCATAGGTATGTATCATAGGATCCATCGTAAGAGGTCGGAGGATCATGAGAGGTCCAAGGATCGTATAAGAGGTCCGTGATATCAGAAATATATTACCTCGCAAAGAACAAAGATGTCAGTAGATCAGAATAATAAGAATYCTGTGTAGATTCAGTACCGAGAGCTACATAGGATCTAATCAGAGCTACTGAAAGCTCACGTCGGAGCGCGAGAATCTAATCTTGTTCCGACGAATGATTCTAATCTCATAATTCAATTTTCATACACACTTAAAACATACTAAGAGTACACGTAATCTCGTGCACAGTAATTACTAAGTGATTTTTTGTGTATCGAAATTAATCAACCMTTAAGCAAATCAACCAAAAATACCACATMGACCATGGTGAAACCAAATAAGAAYACCAACTCCTCCAAACAAACACACCGATCCTGCTTAAGACTTACAAACAACTTTGATCCAGCCCAATTGAAAACAGTCTCGATGACCGTGAATCTCAGAAACCCGGCAAGAAAGTTATCGAAGACCTGCACAACCTTCTCAGGGGAGCATGGGTTGCAAGAACTGTTCCATGTACAAGAAGACTTTGAAGATGCAATCCTAGACTTGGAAATAGCAGAGGATCAAATAGACAACAAATGGCAAATGGTCCTTGCGCACGGGCCCAGACAGAAATGGAATAACATGTGGCACAACAACAGGTTAGCACAAGTGACAAGAGATAGCAAAGCACAATGGGAAATAGCCCTCCTCACTTTCAGGAAGTTCTATGCCTCATCCAAGAGTGCCAGAGACGACGTTGTTGATTATTTGAAATCGGAAGCTGTGAGAAAGCCTCATTCAATCTCCTGTGAAGCACACGCGGATAGAATTCAGACATGTTGCTACAGAGCCAACATCCTTCATGGCATCCGGGAGCCTTTGTCAGAGAGAGAGATCAAACAGATTCTTTTCAAGTCCTTCCCCAAGTCCTGGCAGAATGATTACACCAGATGTGGAAGAGATATCATGAGGGACACGATTGAAGAGATTGTGGAATTCATGGCTGACCAAAAAGGAATAGCAGATGAGGAACAGCAACAACGTTCAAGGAAAAGACCATCAGAGGATACTAATGCGGGAGGAAGAAATGGGAAGCAAAGGAAACGTGGTAACAACAGCAACAATAATGATAGAAACAACAGACAGAATGAAACCCCAGAAGAGAGACAGAGTAGGATCAATGCACAGCCCTGTAAGAAACACAATGGACAACATCTTTGGGGCGAATGTCGATTCAATAAGAACGGTTATAATTGGAGCAATAATAACAACAATCAGAGAAACCAGGAAAATTCAAATGCAAGCAACAGCAGTAAGAGGTTCACACCTGGAATGTATCTATGCTCAATGGATGAACATGGGAACATGAGTAATTTCCAACCACAATCAATCCAAGCTCAGAATTATCAGCTTACCGGCTCTAATTCCAGTGGCGGCCCTCCAAGCCATGTATCATTACAGTCCAACAGCAACGCGGGCTCTATGGTCCAATTCCAAGGACAAGGACCAAATCAACAGTGGTGACATCAGAAAGAGGCTGTCTTTGCATTGCCTCCAATACCATCTAACCGATCACTGGCGGAAAGCTTTGAATTCTATGGTCTTGATAATGAAGAAGCTCTTACGAACCACCTTGAGAGCTCTGAAAACACCACCAGATGTACAGGATGTACTACCAACAGTCATCCTAGTGTGCAAAGCCATTCAAGGCCTACCAACAATGAACACCTTTAAAGTCCTATTAGATAGTGGGAGTACAATGTGCCGTATTCACAAGCGTTGCCTTCCACCAGGAGCAGTGCCCTCCCAAGACCAATTCAGCTCAGTTATGACTACGGCCCAGGGAAGCTTTGACACTTCCAAGTATGTCTTCATTTCCAACATTCGGCTCCCTGAGTTTGGCAATGGCAAATACACACGAGGGATCAATGCAAGGCTCTTCACAGCCCCTTGTAACTATGATATGATCCTAGGTCAAGACTTCTTACTGATGACAGGGATAGACCTCTTCTATTCCACACGCACTATTAGATGGTTAGGCTCAACCATCGATATGAAACCAGTGGATCATTTTAATGATCCCCAGCACGTGGTAGAAGCCATGTGGATTGC